ATCCATTCTCACACAGAGAAGTAGTCGCAACCCAGGTGCGGAATTGACTACAAGTGCTACCAGTTGTAGCTAAGCTACTGTAGTTACATACGGTGCACTATGTTGCAGAAGTAGTAGTCAAACTACTGTAGCAAGCTACGTATGCACTATGTGCAGAGGGAAGACAAGCTCCAAAAGCTTATATGTCTTACGGTTCTCAACCCTTTCCTAGGCTAACTCGCAAGCTTATGTAGCCGAGCTACTGTAGCTACGCTACTTGTGCACTATGTGCAGAAGTAGTAGTCAAACTACTGTAGCAAAGCTACGTATGCACTATGTGCAGAGAAAGACAAACTCAGAGAGCTTCTACGTCTTAGGGTGCTTAACCCTCTAGGCTAGCTCGTAAGCTTGTGGTCATCGGCATTAACAACCGAGTCTCAAAGAGACTAGTATCAAAAGATATTGATTTCTCAGGAGGAATAGAAAGCTCAAGCAGTGATGCTTATAGAGCAGGTTTGAAACTGGTTTATATTTATGTTTATCTTCTAACACTAAATATAGAAGCACCTACTCTATACTTAGTGCTAGTCACTATTTACTGGCTCTATAGCCTTTTATTATTATGCAAACATGCATAGTCACTATCCTTTTTTAAATAAGTATAGTGACTACGTGGCCCTCTGTCACGATGCGACCCTTCGTACTTCAGGAACGGTCACATCACCTACTTTTGTACCCAAGGTACAGCCACACCACATTGGTGTGGCAGGTCTGTTTGTAAAATACACACTTTCGTGTAACCGATGTAGAAGTCTTTAACTCAGATGATCCTAAAACTTGTCAAATAATATTGTTGCTGTTGTTGTTGGTCTCCTCGGTAATTTATATGATCAAAAATGATGAAATCAAGTCTAGAAAAAGCAATATTTGTGTACAATTTGGTCATCGCTGTTTCTGTGGTTCGTAGGTGATCGGTGTGCTGCATCTGTTCCGATGAACCATCATCTCATCGCGTGTTTTGAACCTCCAAGGTCTTCATCAAATCTGAGGTGCTCTTCAGCAAATATAACAGAGGCGTCATCAACAAATGGTATTCCCTGTCAGTCTATAGCAACATCTCAGCTTTAACCAACAGGCTGCAACATTATCAGGTCTGCTAACGCTTTTCAGTTAGACAAGCCGGTCGTTGCTCAAAATTAACTCGACATGTTGTGACAGAGGACTAAAAATATATCAATAAGATCTTTGAATTGTGTATTATCCGTCTTGGTTTTTGTTGTAACTGTCAGTTGCTACAACTGCGGGGTCGCCGTCGTGCGCTGCCGCTTGACATCTTTTCTCTTGCCCGTAAAAGTCGTCTGAAAGATGTTCTTACGACCTTCGTTAGCGACAAACTCCTTGCGCTTCTTAACCTTCTTGACCTTGCCTTTGTCAAGGTTTTCATCCCAGCAACCCTGGCGACCGGTGTTGCGGCGTATCCATTCCTCTTGTTTCAGAGTATTCAGCACCCGGTCACGCTTTGCAGTCAACTCTCTGTCAATCGTTTCATGTAATGTAGTGTCACTACTGCTCGTCGTCTTGGAATACTCGACGTCCGTCTCGTCAGCCCACGTGTACACCTCTCGACCAAAGAGCGCCGCGTTGCGTACACCTACCTTCTTTACATGCCAGGGGTTAAACGGCACTCGTATGGCACCTATCAAATTTTTTGAGCAAGTGACAGCTTTTTTTTTATTTGCGTCCGATATGGCATCCACTAACACTTCCTCCACAGATTGGTTCATTACCAAACGCGGACAAGATTTCCACAATGCCAGTCCATACCGATACAGTCGACCAACGTGACCACCAAAGTTAGACAGTATTGAACCTTTCGTTCGGTGGTGGGCAAGAAGAGCCCATGAAGACACTATCAGCTTCGTCGTGACTTTAAATGTTACAGTTGCCTTCTCGACCTTTGCCGGATCTGAAAAGTTGTCATCAGTTTTAGCATCTAACTGATTAGCAACCACCATCTTTAGACTGGTTAGAATTGCGTTCATGTCTAACTCTTTTGTTGTCGCCAGCACCGACTTTGTCATACTTTTTGACGCCACTCGACTTTGTTTCGTCTCATTATTTTCCTTAGAATGTGCCTCATCTCCTTCCAGCTTTAAACGTTCAGACAAGGGTAACACTCGCGAGTAGAACAACATGTAAGCTTTCTGCTTTAATACAGTGTCTATACTCACCCACCGCACAGAATCATCGTTCATTTCATACCATTGACCGGATGATCCTTTCACAAAGGCGTAGTAATGTCCACAATCCGTAGAAAATCCGGCATGGACCAAAACTGCGTGCAGCTCGTATTTAGTACGTCCTTGACAACGATCTTCGCAAATTTTACTCATTCCTGACGCAATGTCAAGGGAGCAAGAAAACTCAATATGCCGTTTAATTTTGCCAAACATAAGATCGAACCTTTTTAACTGAATCACAAGAACGTTTGGACACTCGGCAATTGTCAGACCTTTTTCGGCACAACTGAATTTGCCACAACTAGAACATTTCCACGAATTGTGGACGTCCAGCTTCTCAATGGTGGTAAACTGTCGCAAGGCGCCTTTGACGCTATTCACGCCACTAGAGATTTCTAGCGACAAGTCCAAAAAGTCGTCAAAACGTTCCGACACATACCCGCACTTGGCGCATTTGAGCGAGTTTTTTAGTTTACCACCAAATATGCGATGCACAAATGTAGTAGATGCAACCAGATGATTTTCACTCTTGATATGCGCCTTTCGTAAACAGGAACGTTGCATGGAATCCAAAAGCAACCGGAAAAATTCGTGCGAATCTTCTTGTCGTCCAATGCGAAAACGTTTTGATATATGACGAATATTCATCACAAACTCTTTCGGTTGTAAGACTCGCACGGCGTTGTTACCATGCACGGATTGCAACAGTCTTGACATTGCACGAATACTGCAAAAGCCACTAGCATCCAACTTGGCACAAAACCCGTTTTTGCCAAAATCATTACCGGATTTATATTTAGTGTGGCCACTACTGGACGGTAATGCATTGCCATTAGACAACGCAAACACTTCTCTGTCTAATAAAAGCTGAGCAAAACAAGGAGTGTGGGTCAGACATTGCAGTACCGAGTTAAGGTAGCACGTGTTACCAAGATTAGCAAAGCCTGGACCGATTTTCTTCGGGTGTTGCCAGACTAACATCCTCTCCACTGACTTGGCAGTGGTCAGTTCCTTCTTCTTATGTTTCATCTTTTCATTTGCGCTGCCATACAATCGACCGATCGTGCGGACATTCTTTGCCCGAACAAAGTCTATGCGACGCTCGTTCACTAAAGCAACAGCTGATTTGCACTGCGCCTTGAATGGAAGTGCGCCAATAACGGGAACGGAAGTGTCGGTTTTGTTGAGGCTTGTTTTCACGTCGTGCAGAGTCAATTGTGCCGGTTTCAAAACAGAGGAAGCAAGTGATGGAATTGTAAAACTTGGATTTGGGGCACATTGGGCCATAACCAGCATTGCAAATGATGAGCAGCAATTGGAAGTAGACCTGCCCACGGTTGGTTTGAAGAGCACGAATTAATGAGTTGTTTTGTTTGTCGAAAAAATAATTTAAGTACGAAATGATTGTGCCAAAGTTCTTGTGGTGTGAGAACAATTAAAAAGAGTACTTAAGCGATTTTTACTACGTACTTAAGTAATTTCAAATTTTCAGAATTTAGTGGTAGTAATATAGAGATTTTTCATAGGAATACCGTCAAATGTGGCACTTGTTGAACTGTACCTATTTTAGGTAGGAAGGCAGGGTCTCGGCTTGGTGACTGAATACGACTCGGTGTCTGAATACGGCGACGTTGTCTGAATACGGCGACGTTATCTTATGAGAGCCGTGCGCTACTTTTTTTTATTTGCAACGTCTTTTTAACTTTACTTGAAGCTACGTCTCGTCAACCCTTTCAAAATGACATTTATCCTACTTTGCTTCAAAACGATTGTCTGAATGATTTCCCCATGCATTCGAGCCTGCGATTGATAACTCACGTGCATTTCTTTTCGCAATAAAAGAAGGCTGTCAGTATGTGGTTACATTTAGCTCACCTGCCGTGCATTCTAAAGAGTGTGACCAAACTATGGTTTATCTTTTTTAGGATGAGCGCTGCTCGATAGAAGAAATGGCTAACGTACAAAATGTTTTTGCATTAAGTGACTTTCATAAGCACAAACAATGGTCCCTAGGCCCCTTTTCAGAAGACCTGTTGAAACAATACAATATGTCTGACATATTGACAAAATGAAGCGAGCGCACGTGGCTCTACGCATTATGCCTTCCAAACATTTAATTTTGTCAAAATTTTCACGCTACGAGGATGAGGAGCAAATGATGTTACACATCATTTTGATATGATTATCGCATGATCATAGAAAGTGGTGCAAAAGGGAGAGCATGAAGATCTGGTAGTAACCACAACCTCCTTTAAAAGTAATAACTTACTTTCCATCCATGTCGGATGCAAAAAAATTGATAAACATTTAGGAGATCAAGTAAATGAATGATACCACTGTGATGCACCACTGACTAATTCAAACGCAGAGATTTGCTTCAACTGGCGCTAATAGGCCGCATAAAACTCCACGTCGTCTGGTACCAGATAGTGCAATCGGCTGTACACAAATACGATTCAACGAAAAGATATGGTCGCCGTATATAGCTATTACATTCAATGACAGGCACACTGGTCATCCGTTAGTACATCGATCCTGTGCAAGCCCACGCCATTGCTCTCAATAAGCTGCTACTCAGAGACTTGGCGAAAGAATTTGCGAAAGCTAGTTAATGTCTGCGAAGAGTAACGTAAACCGCGACTTAGATAGAGTATACATAAAGTAACGATAACAGTCGTTATACCGTACACAACTCGTGCTGAAACTTAGCGGCGGACGATTGAATCCTTGATATTGTTCAGCAGTACAGATGCCTAGCCTACGATACAGTGACCAGCAGACGTATGCCTCAACCGACCTCCATGATGACCAGCATGCTAACAAGTATGCGGAGATCCATATTGTTTTTGCCGTTCGCACACCATATTTTTTAGCCTCTCCATCTGCTATAGTTGGACCAGAACCACGTCACGTATAGAAATGATAGTACGACGACATTGTTAGTACTCTCTGCGTTATAAATAGTTGCAGTGCCATGATGCGCATGCGGCTTAAGCAAATACGTTCGACTACACTAAGGTACATGTACTTTGGAGCATGCTTTTTCGGTGATGTGGCCGAAGAAATGATACGAATACGTGTATATCGTATATAACAAAGCGGTGTTGCAATCCAATTTCAAACTTCTACTTTACAAACGTTAATATTGAAGCCTTTGATTGGAGAGCGCATGTTGCAGCGTGCGGGGTGGTCACGATTGTCGTCATGACGATTCACAGAATATAAAGATTGTAATACGCGTAAGGGAAGTTTGATGCTGCATGTGACGAGAAGAGTCTTTTCAGTGTGCAAGCTATGGTTACCGAAAAGTTCAGCCTTTTCGAAAGTGACACGGTTATGAAGATACAAAATCAAATTGATTGAAGTAAATCGGAAGATACGAGCAGCGGCAGTTGTCAAGGGTTGCGTCTCGTTTTGAAGTTTGCTCTTGACGTATGAGCCAAGATGCAATAAGAAGTCATATAACGGCAGCAAACAAATGTAGCACATTTATTTCTTACAACAAGATGGTAGCTAACTCATCGACATGAAACCTGAGTACACAACTCATTTAAAGAAGTGTCAAGCGTGTCACTAATGTTCACTCAGAACGCAGCTTGCGATATCCCTTCTGGGTCGTTGTACCAGTTACAGAGCTCGTACTTGGGGCGCCCGTTCCAGCGGTTGCGGGACTCTTGCCAGCGGTTGCGGGACTCACTCCTGTGGTTGAGGGACTAGCGCCCGTGTTCGTTGTTCCCTTTCCAGCGGTCACGGTGCTCGTGGTTGTTTTACCCGTTCCAGTAGTTACGGGGATCGTGCCTGTTGTCGTTGTGCTTGCAATCGCGTTGGTACCACCATTCTGCGACGTTAACGTAATTGTGTTGCCTTTCGTGGTTGTGCCAGTTCCTGCATTGTTAGTCCCTGGTCCTGTACCTGTGACCGTTGTGCTTGCGCTCACTGTGGCACCACCATTTTGTGACGTCGACGTGACTGTGTTACCGTTCGTCGTTGTGGTAGCTCTATCGGTACCCATAGGAGCTCCTCCAATATTAGTGGTGGCGCTAACCTTTCCGTCAGCACTAACAGGGCCATTTGCACCGTTTCCAGAGGCTGCACCAACTCCGCCGGAAGCACCAACTCCGCCGGAAGCACCTCCTACACTGGCAGCAGCACTTACACCCGTACCAGCAGTTGCGTCGACACTGTAAGTGCGCCCCACACTGGCACCAACTCCAGCGACATTGTTCCCATTACTGACGCTCACACCTCCCACTCCAGTTCCGACGCCAACGCCTCGTCCGTACAGTCCAGAGTCAACACCGACACCACGTCCGTACAGTCCGCCTCCGACGCCCACGCCAATGCCTCGTCCGTACAGCCCACCTCCGACGCCGATACCTCCGACGCCGATACCTCCTCCATACAGCCCAACGCCTACACCAGCTCCATACATTCTAGAACCACCAAGCATACCCCCGCCGTGAAGACCCCCACCAAGCAATCCAAACGTCTGAGTAGCCTCCTTCTCAGCGTACGCGCCACTTGAAAGCGCCACGACGGCGAGGCACAGGGAACTGAACTTGCTGCTGGTAAACATCGTTTTACTTGCTTGTTCTTGGAAGCCTTGGATGTACACGACTGTTGGATGTTACCTCAAGTGAGAAGATTTGGAAATGAGCTTAAGATGGTTTGACGCTTGGAGTGTGGGTAGCTAGCACAACCGAAGCCGTCCAGGTACAGTCAAAAACCAGGCTTCAACTCCATGTGACCAGCAGACCGTATGCCTCAACCGACCTCCATGATGACCAGCATGCTAACAAGTATGCGGAGATCCATATTGTTTTTGCCGTTCGCACACCATATTTTTTAGCCTCTCCATCTGCTATAGTTGGACCAGAACCACGTCACGTATAGAAATGATAGTACGACGACATTGTTAGTACTCTCTGCGTTATAAATAGTTGCAGTGCCATGATGCGCATGCGGCTTAAGCAAATACGTTCGACTACACTAAGGTACATGTACTTTGGAGCATGCTTTTTCGGTGATGTGGCCGAAGAAATGATACGAATACGTGTATATCGTATATAACAAAGCGGTGTTGCAATCCAATTTCAAACTTCTACTTTACAAACGTTAATATTGAAGCCTTTGATTGGAGAGCGCATGTTGCAGCGTGCGGGGTGGTCACGATTGTCGTCATGACGATTCACAGAATATAAAGATTGTAATACGCGTAAGGGAAGTTTGATGCTGCATGTGACGAGAAGAGTCTTTTCAGTGTGCAAGCTATGGTTACCGAAAAGTTCAGCCTTTTCGAAAGTGACACGGTTATGAAGATACAAAATCAAATTGATTGAAGTAAATCGGAAGATACGAGCAGCGGCAGTTGTCAAGGGTTGCGTCTCGTTTTGAAGTTTGCTCTTGACGTATGAGCCAAGATGCAATAAGAAGTCATATAACGGCAGCAAACAAATGTAGCACATTTATTTCTTACAACAAGATGGTAGCTAACTCATCGACATGAAACCTGAGTACACAACTCATTTAAAGAAGTGTCAAGCGTGTCACTAATGTTCACTCAGAACGCAGCTTGCGATATCCCTTCTGGGTCGTTGTACCAGTTACAGAGCTCGTACTTGGGGCGCCCGTTCCAGCGGTTGCGGGACTCTTGCCAGCGGTTGCGGGACTCACTCCTGTGGTTGAGGGACTAGCGCCCGTGTTCGTTGTTCCCTTTCCAGCGGTCACGGTGCTCGTGGTTGTTTTACCCGTTCCAGTAGTTACGGGGATCGTGCCTGTTGTCGTTGTGCTTGCAATCGCGTTGGTACCACCATTCTGCGACGTTAACGTAATTGTGTTGCCTTTCGTGGTTGTGCCAGTTCCTGCATTGTTAGTCCCTGGTCCTGTACCTGTGACCGTTGTGCTTGCGCTCACTGTGGCACCACCATTTTGTGACGTCGACGTGACTGTGTTACCGTTCGTCGTTGTGGTAGCTCTATCGGTACCCATAGGAGCTCCTCCGATATTAGTGGTGGCGCTAACCTTTCCGTCAGCACTAACAGGGCCATTTGCACCGTTTCCAGAGGCTGCACCAACTCCGCCGGAAGCACCCCTCCTACACTGGCAGCAGCACTTACACCCGTACCAGCAGTTGCGTCGACACTGTAAGTGCGCCCCACACTGGCACCAACTCCAGCGACATTGTTCCCATTACTGACGCTCACACCTCCCACTCCAGTTCCGACGCCAACGCCTCGTCCGTACAGTCCAGAGTCAACACCGACACCACGTCCGTACAGTCCGCCTCCGACGCCCACGCCAATGCCTCGTCCGTACAGCCCACCTCCGACGCCGATACCTCCGACGCCGATACCTCCTCCATACAGCCCAACGCCTACACCAGCTCCATACATTCTAGAACCACCAAGCATACCCCCGCCGTGAAGACCCCCACCAAGCAATCCAAACGTCTGAGTAGCCTCCTTCTCAGCGTACGCGCCACTTGAAAGCGCCACGACGGCGAGGCACAGGGAACTGAACTTGCTGCTGGTAAACATCGTTTTACTTGCTTGTTCTTGGAAGCCTTGGATGTACACGACTGTTGGATGTTACCTCAAGTGAGAAGATTTGGAAATGAGCTTAAGATGGTTTGACGCTTGGAGTGTGGGTAGCTAGCACAACCGAAGCCGTCCAGGTACAGTCAAAAACCAGGCTTCAACTCCATGTGACCAGCAGACCGTATGCCTCAACCGACCTCCATGATGACCAGCATGCTAACAAGTATGCGGAGATCCATATTGTTTTTGCCGTTCGCACACCATATTTTTTAGCCTCTCCATCTGCTATAGTTGGACCAGAACCACGTCACGTATAGAAATGATAGTACGACGACATTGTTAGTACTCTCTGCGTTATAAATAGTTGCAGTGCCATGATGCGCATGCGGCTTAAGCAAATACGTTCGACTACACTAAGGTACATGTACTTTGGAGCATGCTTTTTCGGTGATGTGGCCGAAGAAATGATACGAATACGTGTATATCGTATATAACAAAGCGGTGTTGCAATCCAATTTCAAACTTCTACTTTACAAACGTTAATATTGAAGCCTTTGATTGGAGAGCGCATGTTGCAGCGTGCGGGGTGGTCACGATTGTCGTCATGACGATTCACAGAATATAAAGATTGTAATACGCGTAAGGGAAGTTTGATGCTGCATGTGACGAGAAGAGTCTTTTCAGTGTGCAAGCTATGGTTACCGAAAAGTTCAGCCTTTTCGAAAGTGACACGGTTATGAAGATACAAAATCAAATTGATTGAAGTAAATCGGAAGATACGAGCAGCGGCAGTTGTCAAGGGTTGCGTCTCGTTTTGAAGTTTGCTCTTGACGTATGAGCCAAGATGCAATAAGAAGTCATATAACGGCAGCAAACAAATGTAGCACATTTATTTCTTACAACAAGATGGTAGCTAACTCATCGACATGAAACCTGAGTACACAACTCATTTAAAGAAGTGTCAAGCGTGTCACTAATGTTCACTCAGAACGCAGCTTGCGATATCCCTTCTGGGTCGTTGTACCAGTTACAGAGCTCGTACTTGGGGCGCCCGTTCCAGCGGTTGCGGGACTCTTGCCAGCGGTTGCGGGACTCACTCCTGTGGTTGAGGGACTAGCGCCCGTGTTCGTTGTTCCCTTTCCAGCGGTCACGGTGCTCGTGGTTGTTTTACCCGTTCCAGTAGTTACGGGGATCGTGCCTGTTGTCGTTGTGCTTGCAATCGCGTTGGTACCACCATTCTGCGACGTTAACGTAATTGTGTTGCCTTTCGTGGTTGTGCCAGTTCCTGCATTGTTAGTCCCTGGTCCTGTACCTGTGACCGTTGTGCTTGCGCTCACTGTGGCACCACCATTTTGTGACGTCGACGTGACTGTGTTACCGTTCGTCGTTGTGGTAGCTCTATCGGTACCCATAGGAGCTCCTCCGATATTAGTGGTGGCGCTAACCTTTCCGTCAGCACTAACAGGGCCATTTGCACCGTTTCCAGAGGCTGCACCAACTCCGCCGGAAGCACCTCCTACACTGGCAGCAGCACTTACACCCGTACCAGCAGTTGCGTCGACACTGTAAGTGCGCCCCACACTGGCACCAACTCCAGCGACATTGTTCCCATTACTGACGCTCACACCTCCCACTCCAGTTCCGACGCCAACGCCTCGTCCGTACAGTCCAGAGTCAACACCGACACCACGTCCGTACAGTCCGCCTCCGACGCCCACGCCAATGCCTCGTCCGTACAGCCCACCTCCGACGCCGATACCTCCGACGCCGATACCTCCTCCATACAGCCCAACGCCTACACCAGCTCCATACATTCTAGAACCACCAAGCATACCCCCGCCGTGAAGACCCCCCACCAAGCAATCCGAACGTCTGAGTAGCCTCCTTCTCAGCGTACGCGCCACTTGAAAGCGCCACGACGGCGAGGCACAGGGAACTGAACTTGCTGCTGGTAAACATCGTTTTACTTGCTTGTTCTTGGAAGCCTTGGATGTACACGACTGTTGGATGTTACCTCAAGTGAGAAGATTTGGAAATGAGCTTAAGATGGTTTGACGCTTGGAGTGTGGGTAGCTAGCACAACCGAAGCCGTCCAGGTACAGTCAAAAACCAGGCTTCAACTCCATGTGACCAGCAGACCGTATGCCTCAACCGACCTCCATGATGACCAGCATGCTAACAAGTATGCGGAGATCCATATTGTTTTTGCCGTTCGCACACCATATTTTTTAGCCTCTCCATCTGCTATAGTTGGACCAGAACCACGTCACGTATAGAAATGATAGTACGACGACATTGTTAGTACTCTCTGCGTTATAAATAGTTGCAGTGCCATGATGCGCATGCGGCTTAAGCAAATACGTTCGACTACACTAAGGTACATGTACTTTGGAGCATGCTTTTTCGGTGATGTGGCCGAAGAAATGATACGAATACGTGTATATCGTATGTAACAAAGCGGTGTTGCAATCCAATTTCAAACTTCTACTTTACAAACGTTAATATTGAAGCCTTTGATTGGAGAGCGCATGTTGCAGCGCGTGGGGTGGTCACCATTGTCGTCATGACGATTCACAGAATATAAAGATTGTAATACGCGTAAGGGAAGTTTGATGCTGCATGTGACGAGAAGAGTCTTTTCAGCGTGAAAGCTATGGTTACCTAGAAGTGCATGCGAGTGTGACTCCTACGGGTGCGACTGTGGAAATGGCTTTGCAAAATGTGGCGAAGTATGACAAAAGGAATATCGTAAGCGTTTTTTTTGGAGATACGCTTGCCGCTAACGAAAGAAATTGTTTACTTAGCTTGATCCGCAAGGCTTTCCGACAATGCCTTAAGTGCACTTTCCTTGCTTGAATCTGTGAGGCCAGTGCTTGTGTGGTTTAGAGTCGGACGATTTGTAACCATAAAAGAGTTGTGAAAAAGACTGAGGCTTCGGTTGCAATGCATTGATAGTTTCAAGCTGTCACGATGGAAGAAGTGCCGTGTGAATTGGCCATTAGCTGCAGGTTGTGCAACTGCGCATGCATCACAAGGTGAG